CCTAAACCGGGACCGTAAGTCTCACGTCCGTAAACTAGCGAGTCGAAAGCTCCGCTTGCAGGGTTTTGGGGTATGAGCGTTCATGCTTTTATAGTTTAGGGCTCAGGGCTCAGGGTCACAAGTGCGTAGGCGTAGGGTTTGGGCCATTGGGTTTGATATTGCCATGGGCTTAGGATTGAGGTCTCATCTTGTAGTTCGGGCTTGTAGGCGAACAGCGGCGAGCAGAGTGACCAGGTTTAGGAGCTTTGGGGGCCCTCGCGAGGATTTTGGGGTTCGTTTGATTGTGTGGCATTAGCTTTATCTAGGCCAACACACAAGAGAGCCGGTATGTTCGGGCGTACGTTGTTCCAGTCATGACACCCAGGTGTCAATCACAAGGCTCTGCACGATGTACTTGAACCCTGTGACAAGTAGCATCCCTGGGTCTAGGCTTCATAAGCTGCTAGGCCGGTGGAGTTCTATGAAGACACTATTGGGATCCCTTTGTTCAGCACCCAAATATAGTACGGTATCCTTTTCAAAGGATGCTAAGAGCGACCCTAATTTAGATGACAACCATAGGCCCATAAGTAGTTCCTGTTTATGGTTCATAAATAGAATCCTATAAGGTAATCCCAAAAAGGAACTACTTAGGGGCATCTGGGTATACTCATAAAGCCTCAAGACGACTGCATGCTTCTTTGCGCCAGCATCTCAGCGGGACGTGGCCGATCTTGGGGGGGTTTTCGGAACCAGGAAATCTGAGACTCCAGAATCCGATTAATGTAGGGGCCTTAATAATAATCGTAATAATAATAGCAATAATAATAATAAATGAATAAATAATAATGATAAGGAGCCCGATTGATGTAGGGGCCTTAATAATTCGAATGAGGGTTTGGTGTTTACTGTTTGTTATGCTTTACAGTAAGAATAAGGAACCCCCAAAATAGTTTTGGTAATTATTCAGGCGTCTATATCAACTTTGAATCCGACGAACTCTCTGGGGTTCAAAGGCTTTTGCCTCAGGGCTTTGTCAAGGACGTTAAGGGCTTCCAAAGGGACATAGGGTGCCAGTCTGCCAGCGGGTGAGGGATATAGGAGTCTCCGAAAAGTCCGGCCAAACCCAATTCATCTGCACGACGGCTCTGGAAGTCCCTCGGATGGATCTCTGATGCTCGGCCTTGAATGTAAGGAGATGGCGAAAGGTGGTAAGTGAAGGCCAGGGTTTACGGACATTGGTGACTGTTTCGAGCTTTTCCACCCAAAATCAATAGCGGAAGATGAGGCCGTGGAACCATAAAGAAGTCTAAGTCTAAGTGAGCAAAACACGACTCTGCAGGATGACTATCAAACCCTACCGCTTGCACAAGGCCAGGACACATGCGGGGCTAGTAACCCTAAACCCCAAACTCCTAAACCCTAAACCCGGCTGGTAAAAACCTGCTCTTCAAGGAGGGACGAGTGCTAACACTGAGGAACTCCCATCCATTCCAACCATATATAAGGCTTTACAGCCCCTACCTATAGTGAGCAGCTAAACCCGTTAAAAGCCTAATATAGGGGCCTTAATAACTCGAATAAGGCTTCGGGGTATAGCGTAGGATGATTATAACTTATAACAAGGAGCCCCTGGGAATAGTAGCAGTCCTTCTCCAAGCTCCTAGCACTACAAGAACACCCCAATAACCCCCCAGGCCAGAAGGGGTTGAGGGCAGTTAGCAGTTTAGGGTTTATAGGGTTTATAGGGTTTATTAGGGCTTATAGGGCTTATAGGGTTTAGGGTTTAGGGTTTAGGGCATAGGGGAACTGCTTCTAAACCCAAATGGCAAACGTCAGAAGGTTCCTTTGCAGTAACCTCAAGACTAACTCTACACCCTAGTTGCCAAAGGCTACCAGAGCCCGCCTATGGAATCTTTGCTATAGAACCATAATTATAGAAGGAATATTATTAATATAACCTAATGGAACCATTCTTATAGCACCTGTATTATAAAAGAACCTGTATTTCTGGACTCCTAAACCCTAAACCCTAAACTCCTAAATTTAAACTCTAAACTCCTAAACCCTAAACTCCTAAACCCTAAACTCCTAAACCCTAAACTCCTAAACCCTAAACTCCTAAACCCTAATCTCCTAAACCCTAATCTCCTAAACCCTGCAGCAGGCTCCAGGGACGTCCTGAGCGCCTGCGACACTGTGGTCTCATCCTCTGTGGCCTCCGACACGTGGAGCTAGCAATTATAGGTTTTTCTAAGAAAACACATAGGCTTTAACCCAAACCCTAAACCCTAAACCGATAAAACAAAACAACGACACTTGGAGTTAGGAGGCTACGGGGTTTAAGGGTTTATGGCTTGCCTCTTTCTGTGGGTTTGTGCAGAAAGGGGTTGCCTCTTTTGTGTTGAGCATGTCGGATCTTCCCTAAACCTCAAACCCCTAAACCCTAAACCCTAAACCGTTCCGGAAGCAGAGTTTTCTTGGTCCCTGGAGGGTCTGGGTTCGTGACTTAAGGGTACCCGGAAAGGGTACTGAAATCAAAGCGCTCCTGTGAGAGTTGTACACAGGTACTCTCAAGGCGTTAGGGCTCAGGCTTGAAATTGAGCGTATCGAGGTTTTAGGGTTTAGGGGTATGTGGGTCTAAGATTAGGTTCTAGAGGTTTTAGAACGCAGAACGGATGCCTAAAGCCTTACAAATTCTTAAGAAAAGCATAAGATACCCTGGGCCTGAGGCAGGCTCCACAGAATGGTCTTAAGCAGGAGCCTGTGGTGGCGTGGGGTTTAACATATGCGAGTGTTTCGGGGTCTCCTTAACCCCAAACCCTAAACCCCCTTAGGCAATGAGACCGGTTGAGGAATCCACAGGGATCCTGCACGAAACATCCAGCTGAATTTCGAGCAAACGTGCCAAGTTCAGGCACCCGAAGCCTCAAGATACAGGAGGTTCAATTGGGGAGGGACTGAAGGCCCTAGAAAAGCCCGAAGTGATGCTGTTGATGGTAGAAATCCTGCATTGCCTTAAGGACCCTAACCCTAGGGGAGTTGTGGTATAGTCCTTGTTATGGGTGTAATGCAGGGTTTATATCATTAACCGTATCCTGACAAGCCTTACAGGAGCTGCCGCTGATTCCAAGAAGGCCACCCCATATCTCAACAAACAACTGGCATGGACTGCCCACTAAACCCTAGCCCTAGCTTACCCCCGCAGCCCTAAACGACATCTCTCAGCCCTCCATCCGTGAACCCTAAACCCTAGACCCCTTGGGTGCCGAAATGCCTTCAAATCTCTCGAGAGAGTCAAAGCAAAGCGGCATGATAGAAAAGTTACCCTAAACCTTCAACCCTAAACCCATAAACCCTAAACCTTAAACACCTAGCCCCCCTAAACCCTAAAGCTCGAGGATCGCAACAATTGCCACAGCTTTGAAGGACTCTACAAGGCGACGGTACTCTGCAAGGTTTAGGGCTTAGTGCTTACTCTAAGTGTCAGCTAGGGGCAAGGGTACGATAGGGGTACGATAATCCTAAACCCTAAATCCTAAAACGCTACACCCTACAACCCTAAACCCTGAAACCCTAAACCCGAAAAAAACCAATACCCTAAAACTCTAAAACCCTAAAGCCCTAAAGCCCAAAAACCCTAAACCCTAAACCCTAAAACCCTAAAACCCTCAACCCTTATGGCTTACGGCTTGGCATTTGCGGGGTGAGGGTCGAAGTTCAGGGCCTTCCGGTAGTTTAAATGGAAGTACTTCATTGTCCCGAAACGTAGGGTTTAAGGTTAAGTTGACTTCAGGATTTAAGCCCTGAAACCCCAAACCCTTAAACCTTAAACCCTTAAACCCCAAATAGACCCTTAAGCCCGAAACCCTCAAACCCGAAACCCTTAAAACCCAAAACCCTTTAACTTAATTGCACCCTAAGATTAGGGGACTGCAGGGGTTGCGCGTTGATGTAGACTTTATCCCAGGACCAGATCTTGACTTATCATAACCCGTTGGGTCTTGTTGATAACTGTTTAGGGCTTTAGGGCTATAAGGGCTTAAGGGTTTAAGGTTTAGCGCCTTTAGGCCGAAGGGTGACGATTGTTTAGAAGGCTATAAGGGTTTAGATAGGTTTAGATAAAGGTTTAATGCTTTGGGCTTAGGATTTAGGGTTTACACCCATGGCTCCCTAAACCCCCCAAACCCTAAACCCTACACCCTAAACCCTAAACCCTACACCCTGAACCCTAAGCCCTACACCCTAAACCCTAAACTTAAACCCTACACCCTAAACCCTACACCCGAAGCTCATGGCTTGTCTGCTCCTCCTGGGCCATCACTTTCGGCCCAAGCGCTCAGCAATTCTGTGCTTGCTTCAGCTGTGCTGGAGATGACCTTCTCCTCGTGGCCGCAACAAGAGAGTTTAGAGGGGTTCGGGGTTTATGGCTTCAGGGTTCGAGTCTAGGGTTGAGGGCTGGAGGGTCTAGAGTTGAGGGTTTGGGGCTGAGTGCATGGATACCGACATGGACGAACATGTAGAACAGCGAACAAACAAGGAATTGAGTTTAGGATTCAAGGGTCTTGGGTGGTGGGGAGGTTAACAACTACAATGGGGTAGTATAAGCATACTACAACTACTATGCAGTATGCCGGGTTGTGTACTTCACGGTCGCTGTATCTACAGATGCAAGCAACGATAATTGTTCATACATATAACCATTATGTCACATCATGTGTGTATATATATATATAGAGTCAGTTGGTTGGTTGGTTAGTTAGTTAGTTCGTTGGTTGGTTGGTTGGTTGGTTGGTTGGTTGGTTAGTTATTTATGTGTGTATATATGTATGTTCACGTGTTTTTCACGTTTTTCGGGCACTGAGTCCATGAGGCTGCAGCCCATTGGCATGCACCTAAGTAGAAGCACGAACACCCACAGCTGCTGTATGTACTCGAGACTGTTTAACATGGCCCGGAACAGAAATCAGCGAAGCAACGGGGTTAAGGCAGGAAGCTGCAAGAGTGATGTAACAGGCGGCATCAAGACCGAAAAGCCTTCCACTGTGCAGCTGGTCCTGCGGTCAAAAACAAAAGCATCGAAGTGAAGCTTGCCCTCACTCTGAATGCCAAAACCGTTGTCACCTCAGTTGGCCGATAGCATGCAGGTTGTTGAAGGTATCCGGCACCTGTATTCTGGCAGGACAGAATCGCTGCATCACACCACCAGGATCAAACATGATGTCACGGAAGCAGGATTGGATCAAAAGCCCCTTGTGACTGTGAAGCCGCGCCGTTGCAAGGGACTCCGTAACGGTGGCGTTCGCAAGCTCGTAGAACCGCAGCAACCGACACGCGGTGAAGGCCCAAACCATCGCGCCTAAGAGTCGCTTGAGTCCCATCAAGCTGAAGACCTGCACCCAAGTCAGCATGCCACTGCAGATTTCTGTCTCCAAGCCTGACGCTCCTCGCAGCTGCAGTGTGCAGTCTGGAAACATGCGGCCCTTGTCATCTGACTTCCCAAAAGGGGCTGCCTGCCACCTCTTGAGAGACTCCACAGGTCTGCAATCATGGAGATCGGTGAACAGTAGCCTGCCCCGAGTGTTCCTTGTCACAGGCACAGCGCCGCAAGGCTCCCAGACTCCGTGATATGGATTTCGGACCAGTTCTGTACGACTGGGATGCAACTGCATCACAGGAAGGCCCATGGTCAAGTCCTCCACAGCCTTTTCTGCCTTGTGGCGGATCTCTTCTTTTCTACCCTCCAGGTTGATGCACACCTTGTCTTGCAAAGCTAGGCGAAGTCCCCGTAAGGAAACCATCCCCTGTGCAGAAGCGAGCTTCATCACAGCGCTCGTCATGATGTCCTGAGTCAGATCGACGGCTCTATAATCCTCTCCAGGTTCTGGACGTGCCGCGTTCCGCATGGCGGCCATTGCATGCGGCACTGGGGCTGACAGTAGTTCCGCGCTATGCGGCGATCTGAGCCCTATATATGTATGTATTTATATACGTATATAAATATAAATATAGGTACATATTTATATCTAACCCCATTTTGCTAACTCATGCTCTGGACTCAAACTGAAAGTTTTAACCACAGTGCAGTGCACAGTCCAGGAAGGATTTCAACGGGGCTTCTGCACAGTGCTCCGACGAAGGCCTAGGACCTGGCAGTTGCAACGGACTTATAAGCTCTACCAGGGGGCTCTATCAGGGTTCAGGGGGCAAAAGGACCCAAGAAGGGATTAGGATACTGGCAATGGAGGTTCGTACTCCCTCAGAAGATGATAAATGGTACTGAAGCGCAGAATGCATCCAACGACCATTAACCTTGCGTTGACCATGAAGCTTTGGTTTAGGGTTTAGGAGCTTAGGGTTTAGGCTTCAGCAGCTCCGGATCGAGCAGTATCTAGTCGAGCTTGCTGCTTGCAACATGGAACAAACACCACCCGGCCCAGAGCATCCCAAAACATTAAGTACAGACAACATTTGACCATCTTCCCTAGGCCCCAAACGAACCCCTAAACGAACCTTGAAACGGACCTTAGCCGGAACCCTAAAAGGAGCCCTAAACGAAACCTTGAAGGACCCTAACTGAGACTGTAAATTGAACCCTAAACTGAGCCCCAACCGGAACCCTGAGAAGGAACTTTCAAAGGAACCCTAAACGAAACCCTAAAGAGAAACGAGCCCTGCCCACGAGTAAACGAGACTTGCTCATGAATATCATTAAGGTGTATTAGATAGAGAGGGTGTAGGGTAGAGGTTTTAGCTTTCAGGGTTTAGGGATTAGGGTTAAGAGTGAAAGGTTTAGGGCTTAGGCTTCAGGGGATTGGGGTTCACGCTGCTTCAGACAAGTTTGGAAGTCGCCTGCTTCCTTCACTCCTACAGGCACAACTCCTGCCAGCATCGTATGAACCAAAGACCCAAGAGGAGTCGTGGGGGCCGTGGAAAGCAAGAGTTTAGGGTTTAGGGTGTAGTGTTTAGGATGTAGGGTTTAGGGTTTAGGGTTTAGTGTTTAGGGACCCAGGGAGACACGACAGCCGCCCAGAGAGGTGTCCAAGTGCCGCAAGACCACTCTGACCGCGTGGGCTTCAGGCATCGGCGGTCGCCAGATGTGCTGCAAGCAGAAACCCTGAACCCGAAATCACCGTAGACACAGGTCTTTATGACTAGCACCTTGGGATCCCGATATACAGTCACCCAAACCCAGAAAAGCCAAACATAAACATTACTTCAGCTCCATACAGAAACCCTAAAGTGCAGGCGCTCAGACCGATACACACACATTGAACCCTCTAAGGCTGCTTAAGACGAGCACATGAAACGAAGATACTTGCAGCCGTCCTGCACAGTCCTCATTTGGACATCGCAGAAGTCAGGGCCTTTTGCACCTGCAGCTGAACTTGTTGTGCTTGTGTTTTAAGGGCTGCAGCCTTTATGGCTATGACATAGGAGTTAGGGTTTAGGGGTCTAGGGTTCTATGAAGGTGCTGCAGGGGTTTAGGCTTCGGGCTCAGAGAAGTTGACTACGGTTTAGGGTTAATCAAGACCCTAAACCCTAAACCCTAGACCCTAAACCCTAAACTCTAAGGTGCAGGGGTTCGGGGCTTTAGAGATCCGGACTTAGAGATTGGCACAGTAGAAAGGAGATCACGCCCATGGCTCATACCCTAACCCCCCAGGTACCTACTATACAGGTTACTAGAGCCCCTAGGGCCCTATATACTAGGTACCTGGAGGGTTAGGGATAGTTTAAAATTGAAAGAGAGTAGAGACACTTTACACAACTACATATAGCGTAAATGCTGCATATATTCTGTATACGGTAAGCTGTGACGGCATAGACGACGTACTCTATACATACACATTACATACATGCCGCGGTACTTTATGTACCGTAATGTTTGCCGCATTCCAAAGAAAACCGAAACCTGCATGTTGCAGTTCTCGCAGCGGTCCGGAGTGCAACATGAAGTGACTTGACCTAAAACCCTAAACCCTGAACCCTAAACCAAACAAAAATCTCCACCTGCGTAAAGACCGGAGAGGGAAGCTTGTAATGGCTCAGCTCCGGACCTGCTGTTCGGACTCACCCTTCATGCTGCGCTCAAAAAGAACGGCAAGGACGTCCCGAAACGCCTCGTGCGAGGGTTTAGGGGTCTTCGAGTTTGGGTTCCTAGGGTTTACGGTCCCGCAACATCTCGTTCAACCGCGCAATGCCTGCAACAAACCACTTGGGATCCGAATACCAATGATTCCCGCCCAAATTCTACACCCCCTCCACCCCCTTCAAAACCCAACCAAAGCCCTAAAACCCCTAAGCCCTAAACCCTAAACCCCAAACCCTATACCCTAAACCCTAAATCGAAGCTCCGAGCCCTCAAGACTCTCTGCTTTGGAGCCTAAAAGCCCTGAGGTCTTGAAAGTCCTGAAGCACCCGACCTCGAACTCCGAAAGCCCTCACAGGAACCTTTAGGGTGTACCTGGTCCCTGAAGAACCGACCTTTTTCGGGCTCCCTATTATACTTTCCTTATACAACTCCTTAAAACGGTAGGTTCTTTAGGGTCTAGGTAGGGCTTAGGGTTTAGGGTTTAGGATCGAAGGGATTTGGATTTTGGATTTTGGGTTTCGTTACGGTGTAGGGTTTAGGACTTTAGGATTTAGGGTTTAGGGATTATAGGGCCCAGGGTTGAAAGAACCTGCCTACATCACACATAATACCCTTATAAACCCCTGACGGAACCCTTCGCTTTACCCCTCAAAGGAGCTGCGTTACGTGCGTGTAAACCACCCGGAAGCCCCATAAACCTGGCAAGAAGGCCTTACGTGCTTATAAAAGCCTCATGAAAGCCTAAACCCTAAACACCCCACAGCCCCAAAAGCCACAACCCTAACCCCTAAACCCCTA